TAGGGGATTAGCTTCGATTCCTCTCTGTGTGACCAGAAACCCTAGGAATTTGCTACAGTCAACCCCGACGGCACATTTCGTTGGGTTCAACTTCATTCGATACTTCTTGAGGGTGTTGGAGACTTCTTTGAGGTCAGTTAGGTGATGCCCGACCTTCTTGCTCTTCACTAGCATATCATCCATGTAAGCTTCCACGTTGCGGCCAAGTTGATCTTTAAAAACTTGGTTCACCGGCCGCTGATAAGTAGCTTTAGCGTTCTTGAGGCTGAAGGGCATCTCTTTGTAGCAGTAAAGGCCTCAGTTAGTGATGAAGGCGGTCTTCTCCTGATTGTTCGGATGCATCTAGATCTGGTTGTAACTTGAGAACACATCCCTGAAACTCAAGAGTTCATTCCCCCGCCATTGCGTTGATGATCTAGTCAATCCTTGGCAAGGGGAAGCTGTCTTTAGGGTAGGTTTTGTTCAGGTTGGTGAAGTTGATGCAAATCCTCCACTTTCTGTTGGCATTATTCACCATCACGATGTTCACCAGTTATTTTGGGTACTTTACTTCACGGATGAAGTCGGCATCGAGCAACTTATGGACTTTTTCGTTGATCACTTGCCACCGTTTTGAGGCAAAGCTCCTCTTCTTCTACCTGATGGGTCAGTAGCGTGGGTCAGCGTTCAAGAAGTGGGTGATGACCTTGGGATGTTTGCCACTGATCAAGCGAACACGTTTGCATTGTCCTCTAGCAATTGTACAAGGTCTTCCTGAAGATGATCTTCTAGGAGAGATCCAACTTGGGGTCTTCATCGGAGAGCGGCACCTGTATGAGGCCTTCGACAGGATGGTTGTGCTGTGTGTTCAACTCATCTCGCAAGTCTATGTTCTCCTTTGTCAATGTCTCTATGGCATGGCGCTTTCCTTGGCAGGCCATCAGGTAGCATTGTCGTGTTGCTCTCTAGTCTCCACGTGCTACGCCTACTCCATACGGGATTGGGAACTTCATTGCTAGGTGGTATATGGAAACCAAGGCTCGCAAAGCATTCAAGGTCGACTGACCGAGGATGGCGTTATAGAATTAGAGGCATTGGATGGCGATAAAGTCAACCATCACCATGGTGGTGATGTCACCATCTCCGATCAAAAGAGGTCAGGTGATCTTCCCTTTGGGCATGAGGGACTCCTAGGAGAAACCCATCAAGGGAGTGTTGACCGGGGTGTGGTGATCATTTCCGATGTCGAGTTGTTCGAAGGCTTCATCGAAGAGAATGTTTGTCCAGCTTCTCGTCTCTACCAGGATGCGTTGAACTTGGAAGTTAGCCACCTCGGCGGTTATCACAAGGGTATCATCGTGTGGGGTCTGGACCCCCTTGAGGTCGTCATCTATGAAGGTGATCAGATTATCCTGACATCTTCTCTTCTACTCCCTGCCATGGATCTCGTGCAACCGCACATATGCTTTGCGGCCCAAACTGCTCTCTCCCCTGGAGGCCATCCCTCTTGAGATCATAGTGATGACTTTGGTTGGGGAAGCCTGGGCTGGAGGTCTGTCTATCTAGTGTGGTTTTTCTTTGACTTGTGATCCTTGATGTCGATGAATCCTCCTAGGTATTTGTGCCTAATCAGGTCATTGAGGTGCTGGCATAGATTGTGACAATTGTTCATCTCGTGGTCGTGGTCTCGATGGAAGTCGCAGTACTTATCTCTGCTTCTCTTGTTGCTTTGGGATTTCATCTTCTCAGGTCACTTAACATAGTTACAGTCACGGATTTGCATCAAAATCTCTTACTGTGGTGCATTCAAAGGTGTGAAGTTCCTATATGTCAGTGGTGGAATCCTCAGTCTTGGGTTAGGTCGACGGTCCAGTCTCTTGCTATCTTGATCCACCCTTTCTATCTTGTGCTCGTCTAGATCTCTTCTCTTCCTATTATGTTGCTCTTCCTCGTTCCTCAATTGCGCTTGTGCTTCTTTGGCATTGATATACTTTTTGGGCGTGCACCATCAGTGTGGCTACAATCTGAGAAGGGTTCTTTGACAGTGAGAAGCTAAAAGTGGAGGGGTGTAGGCCATGCATGACTATTGTGACTGCTACCAACTAGTTCAGGGCATGGACTTGCAAGGCCTCAGTGTTTAACTTCACCAAGTACTCTTTGAGGGTCTCTCCCTTGTTCTTCCACACATGGATAGGACTAAACAAAGTCTTCCAATGTCGCTGACTTTCTGCGAATTGCACCAAGAATTGACTCTCCAGGGGATGGAGCACAGGGGAAGGGAAGAGTACTATGTCCGAGCGACTCCCTTAAGGGTAGCGACAAAGGCTTTGCACATTAATCCTTTAGACGAACCATGGAGCATCATTAAGGCCTTGAAGCCTTTGACATGGTTGTTGGGGTCTATAGATCCGCCATACTTCTTGAACTGTAGAGCTATCCGGTTGGCTGGGGAAACTCGTCCACGATGTCTTGGGTGAAGACTAGCTCTTTGGTGGGCTGGTTGTTAGGTTCCATGAGCTGGATCGTTGGAGGAGCTGCACTTCTATTGGCTTAGCTACGTTCCAATTCGGTTAGGTGTTGTTTGAGTTCTCTGATCTCTACATCCCTATTGTCTGGGGCTGTGTGCATGGTCCTTTCTTTCTTGGGCATCATGGGGCGGTCTCTAACCGAGCTGGACTCGGTGATGGAGACTGGTTGTTGTTGTGATCTTTGGCTAAGCCTTTCCTTCGCCAGAATTTGAGTAGAGCGGTGCGTCTTGCTGCGGTCATCATGTGCACGAGATTGGGCTGAGGAGTCTGATTTTCTTGATGACTGTTGCATTTCTTGGTTAGACCGTGCCCCATGTCTGTCCGAGCGATACTTTTTGGGGTCCTCAGGGGCGAGGATTGGCCATTTTAAGCATATGGATGGGAGGGGGACGGTCTGAGGAGGTTGTGTTGTCTGTTGTCTGTCCCAGCGTTTGCATCATCGTGAGGATCTAGTTGACCTTCTATTGCATTACTTGGAACTGTGCGGGGTCGACCATGGTCTACGGCTGAGGCTGCTGCTAAGACTCGCGCGGTGGAGGGCTATGGTAAGAATGGGATCCTCGAGATGGGGATTGGCCTGTTGAGCGGTTGGATGTGTTTCTTGGCATGTTTCTTGATTGCGCGGAAAGAGAATCAGGAATGGCTTTTTGTGCATTTCCCACAAACGACACCAATCTAATGCTGTCCGATCCGAGGTGTCCCGAACCAAGATCACAGTCAGATAATCTTGCCAACTAGCGAAGCCAAGGTGGAAGGACAAAGTCGCACACCAAGAACTAAAACAAGAAAGTAGTTAGAGGCCTGATGAGTTGTTCCTCGGGTAGGTACTCCAACTCTCAAGTTGGTATAGAACAGTGGGAGGTTGGGCCGAGCAGTTGAGAGAATGTTGGTCTGCATAGAAGCTAAATAACAATATAAGGTTGAAGAGTCAAAAGTCCTTTACCTTGAGGGGGAGACTTCCAAGGTTGTTGGGATGAGGTTGTCCATCGAGGTTTTCGGGATAAGTCCTAATCCTCAGCGGAGTTGTCCTCCTTATTCGAATAGGGTTTCTTTTTTTTGTCGCGCTTATCCATCTTTCGTGGTGCCGACATGGCCAAAGAGATAAGATGGCCACGTAGGTGACACGTGGCACCTGAGGCCTGGTTAACCATAACCCAAACAGTAATGGCACATTAACGATGGGGAAGATTTTTGGTTCTTTAATTATTTAACGCTTCCTTTTACTAAAAACTAGTAGAATGGCCCGTGTGATGCATGAGATATTTGAACCATGGATAGGCTATCATTCAAGGGATCACAAATCTTTATTGAATTATAATATACAAATAAAATTAAAACCAAGCCATAAATCTTTATTGGTAAAACAAACTAGAAACATAACAAGGCATGAAAAGATGAACTGACCCATGCATGTCACAAGAAATTCTAACAAGGTCTCTAGTTTTTCTAGTGTTTGCATGGAGTATCTGGATTTTCTAGTCCTCATCACAGACTTCAAGAAGCGTAACAATGTGACCAATGATCTCAATAATTATATGGAAATCTAGATAGATAAATGGGGATAGATTATCATTCAAGAGATCATAAATCTTTATTGAATTATAATATATGGATAAAATTAGAGGTACGAACTTGTTCTAGAGTCTTAAGGGTTTTAATCAGTTTCTACATCACCCAAATTTTGTTTTTGGAGAAAACCTCAGTGCATTTTAAAAGATATTGGAAAAAAACCAAAAATATAATAAGACAAGAAAATGATGAACTGATCCATGCATGTCACAAGAAATTCTAACATGATCTGTAGTTTTTCTAGTAATTACATGGAGTATTTGCATGTTTTGATCCTCATCACAAGCTTGAAAAAACTTATGGACAAAGTAATTCCCAAAAGGATCCATTATGAGCTTAGCAATGTGAGCAATGATTTCAAGAAGGGGCAACCATGTTGATTGAGATAAATTCTACTAATGACCTCATTTTTAGAATTATGTTTTTGATATGCTGATTTTGGATTATTATATCAGAGATTTGCAATGTCAAGAATGAACCCTAGATGCTGCATTTAGAAAGGATGGATGGTATTGGTACACTATTCATGAATTTACCATGGTTTAGTGCTATTGTTCATAAGTTTTAATGGATTATATTTTCTTCTTTTCCAATTCATAGAATGGTAATATGTTATAAACTTGATCTATAAAAAATATCCTTATTAGTCAATATATATAAGAAACTAACAATAAAGGGTTTCTTTATAACAAACCAAATTCGTTTAATTATTTTGGCATTGCCTGTCGTTTTACTGTCATTGAACCAAAACCAGAGCATCTGTACTTTATCTTTGCCAAGTGTCCAAAAAATGCAAAAATTTTCTGCTGGTCTAATTAACAAAGGACACACACAGCATATTCAAAAGGAACCTACGCTTGTTTACAATGAGGGCATGTGAGGGGCGTATTCAATAAGTGTAAGAAATATAAAAACAAGATGTGGTGACGATTTCAACCAGGGTAAATCTTGGAAATATGAAATCTAAGAAATATAGAAGACGACGATGTAATGAATGAACCCCCCAACCCTAAACAGGTCTTCGCTTCCCCATCGTCCAATGGCGCTCCCATTCTTCGATACACCCAAGCCCCGCCAAACTTCAATTTCAAATCCTTCTGTTCATTTGCAGATTTCTATTTCTCGAGGAAAACCCTAGGAAGTGCAGCAAGCCAAGCACCTCGGCGTTTTCGCAGTAGAGGAAGCATGAGCTGGCGAGGGGCGAAGATTATTTTATCCCACTCACTCGCCACTGTTGCCTCTCTCAAATCCGACACTAGTCTCCGGCCAAAGTTTTTGATGGTATCCTGTCTCCCTTCATTTAATAATTCCCGCGTAAATTTCCTTAACAGCAGTAGTAGAGGCATCAGTAGCTCTTCACAAGATGACCTTGATGGACTGATTGATCCTAATTTCTCACTTCCGGACAATGGACTTTATTTGGCTCCGGAGAAGCCTAGGGAAGAAACATCAGTTTCTACGGAAGATTTTGCCTTTTTGCATGATACAGTTTTGGAGTGTGATGCATCGAGGAAGAGTTTAGATTCGGGTAAGTTCTCTGATGAGGCCATAATGATATCAAGGGAGATCAACAATAATGGGGATAACCTAGGAGACAAAACCCATAGATTTCTTAGGCAATTCCGGGGAAAATTGAATAATTCTTTGGTTATTGAGGTGTTGAGGCTTGTAAATAGTCCTGACTTGGGTGTTAAGTTTTTCATCTGGGCTGGTCGCCAGATTGGCTATAGTCATTCTATGTCAGTTTACAATGCCCTGCTGGATACATTCAGGTTTGATAAGAATAGTAGGGTCCCAGAACGTTTTCTGCGAGAAATCAGAGATGATGACAAAGAAACCCTTGGGAACTTGCTGAATGTTTTGATCAGAAAGTGCTGCAGAAATGGGTTTTGGAATGCAGCACTGGAGGAGCTCGGGAGACTTAAGGATTTTGGTTATAAACCATCAAAGTCTACGTATAATGCTCTAGTCCAGGTCCTGCTCAAGGCAGATCGATTAGATAGTGCTTGTCTACTTTATAGGGAGATGTCTGACTTAGGTTTTAATATGGATTTGTTCACCCTAGGTTGCTTTGCTCATCAGCTCTGCAAAGCAGGTAGGTGGAGAGAAGCTCTTGGGATCATTGAAAAAGAAGAATTTGTACCTGATACTATTATCTACACAAATATGATTAGTGGGTTATGTGCAGCTTCCCTTTTTGAGGAAGCTATGGACTTATTGCATCGAATGAGGTCTAATTCTTGTATTCCAAATGTGATAACTTACAGAACTTTGCTCACTGGGTGTTTGAGAAAAGGACAGCTGGGTAGGTGTAAGAGAATTCTTAGTATGATGATTACAGAGGCTTGTTATCCAAGTCGTTCGATATTTAATTCTCTTGTTCATGCTTATTGCAGATCAGGAGATTATGCTTATGCGTATAAGTTGCTCAAGAAGATGGTAGATTGTCATTTCCAGCCAGGTTATGTGGTTTACAATATCTTAATTGGTGGTATTTGTGGAAATGAGGAACTACCTATGTCAGAGATGTTGGAACTAGCTGAAAAAGTGTATGCTGAAATGCTTGATGCAGGGATAGTATTAAATAAGATAAATGTTGGCCATTTTGCTCGGTGTCTTTGCGGGTTTGGAAAATTTGATAAGGCATTTTCAGTTATCCGTGAAATGATGACTAAGGGCTTCATACCTGACACTAGTACTTACTCAAAGGTGATTGATTTTCTCTGCCAGGCATCCAAATTTGAGAAGGCCTTCCTTTTATTTCAAGAAATGAGACAGAATAAGGTTGTCCCTGATGTCTTTACTTACACAATTTTAATTGACAGTTTCTGTAAAGCTGGTCTTATTGAACAATCTCAAAAATGGTTTGATGAAATGGTAAGTGTTGGCTGTGCTCCCAACGTGGTAACTTATACTGCTCTTATACATTCTTATCTTAAAGCAAAAAGGGTATCCAATGCAAATGAGCTATTTGAGAGGATGCTATCAGAGGGTTGCACTCCAAATGTTGTTACATACACAGTTTTAATTGATGGTCACTGTAAGGTTGGAGATATTGAGAAGGCTTGTCAGATTTATTCCAGAATAAGAGGAAATTCGAATACCCAAGATGTTGATATGTATTTTAAAGGTGACGGTAGTAATCTCACTGAGCCAAATGTTTTTACCTATGGAGCTTTGATAGATGGTTTGTGCAAAGCTCACAAGGTACATGAGGCTAGTGAATTACTAGATGCAATGTCAGTGGTGGGTTGTGAGCCAAACCAAATTGTATATGATGCTCTTATTGATGGCTTTTGCAAGGTTGGGAAACTAGATGAAGCTCAAGAAGTTTTTACAAAGATGTCTGAACATGGGTATAATCCAAGTGTGTATACATACAATTCTTTGATTGATAGGTTGTTTAAGGATAAAAGACTTGATCTTGCTCTCAAAGTCTTATCTAAGATGCTAGAAAATAATTGTCCCCCAAATGTGGTTACCTACACAGAGATGATTGATGGACTCTGTAAAGTAGGAAAGACTGATGAAGCTTACAAGCTTTTGATGTTGATGGAAGAGAAGGGTTGTCATCCAAATGTTGTTACTTATACTGCGATGATAGATGGTTTGGGAAAAGTTGGTAAAATTGATATGTGCCTTGAACTCTTAAGACAAATGAATATAAATGGTTGTGCTCCAAATTTTATCACATACAGGGTGCTGATAAACCACTGTTGTGCAGCTGGCCTTCTGGATGAATCTCACAAACTTCTTGAGGAGATGAAACAGACTTATTGGCCAAGATATGTGCTGGGATATCATAAAGTCATTGAAGGTTTCAGCAGAGACTTTCTTATCTCCATTGACCTCCTAGATGAGATTGTGGAATATGATAATGTGCCAATTATTCCAACTTACAGAATTCTGATTGATAGTTTTTGTAAGGCTGGAAGGCTGGATGTGGCATTGGAGTTGCATAGGGAGATTTTGACATCTTCAGTCTTATCTGCTGCTGACAAAAATATTTATTCTACTTTGATTGAGAGCCTCTCCATGGCATGTAAGGTTGAGAAAGCTTTCGAATTATATGGAGACATGGCCAGGAGAGGTTACATTCCAGAGTTAACTGTCTTTCTTTACCTTATCAAAGGTCTCATCAAGGTTAACAAATGGGATGAAGCTCTTCAACTTTTGGATAGCATATGCCACATGGTCTGTCTCTCACCTGCACAATATTTTACTATTAGTAGCATTTGTCACAGTATTTTACAAATATTACAAATATTACAAATCAAACCGCAAAATGCAGTTAACCGAACCGATCGGTTTGGATTTTTTGAAAAACCGAAGGACCGGTTCAGTTTTTTGTTAACCTACAAAAAAACCGGTGGTTAACCGAACCAACTGGTATATATATTTATATGTATATTTTATATATATTTTTAATATATGTCACATAATTTCTATGTATTATATATAAATATATGTTCATTATATATATAAATATATACTTATAATTTATTTATAATAATCTATTTATAAGTATATTATATATTATATATTTTTAAAATATTTATAATATATTATATATCATTTATTATTTATAATATAATATTATACATGTATTTATATAATAGATATTATAAATATAAAAAACCGAAGAACTGAACCGGTCAAGAACCGAAACTGGCGGACTGGTTAACCAGTGGTATCGGTTCAGTTTCAGTTTGGAGGAATGAAAAAACCAGTACCACTGGTTCGGTTTTCAAAATATACCCATGGTTCGGTTAACCGAACTGTGGACACCCCTAACAAATATGGATGCTTTTTGTGCATTGAACTTTACCAATTATGGTACTGATAAAAAAAAAAACAACCACCAAGTAGGATGCCTTGTGTGTAGGGCTGTCAATGGTCTGTCAACCCAATAGACCAGATATGATCCAACCCTATTTCATAGGGTCTTGGTCTGTGTTTTTTCCCCAATTATTAATAAGGTGAATTTTGTGTCTGCATTTTGAGTTCCAATTACAAAAGGCTCAGAATTGGCTTTACTTGTTCCAACCCAATTAAGACCTGAAGTAATTTTGTAAATATACATACATATCTATTACTATTAAAGCAGATACCCCGTGTACAGGAGAGTTGGATTTACTTGTTCCAACCCAATTAAGACCTGAACTCATTATGTAAATACACATGCATATCTATTACTATTAAAGCAGATACCCCATTTACAGGAGAATGCATGCAGAAAATCTATTACTATATAAAGCAGACCTCTTATCTTTTGTGTTCACTATATACCTCATGCAACTCATGCACCTTTCTGCTTGTGTATATATATGTATATTAGCACATGATAAAGATACCTCCCAACATTTTGTATATCATTCTCATGGTTTATCTATATCAATTTCACACGGCATGTCCAAAATTTGAGATTTACCAATTAGTGTGCCTTAAGGTGTCTAGGACTGTCAGTTGTTTTGGTAAGCTCAACAGATCCACACTGATCCAGTCATATTTGTTACATAGGGTCTGGACTTTATTTTAGTCCTGATTATTAATAATGTTAACTCTGGGCCTGTATTTTGAATTCTGACCATAATAGGCTTGAAATTGGGTTTCCCTTTTCTGACCCAATTATGACCTGTACTGATGTAAATATATATACATATCCATTACTATATAAAACAGATCTTTTATCTTTTCTGTCCATTATTAATACAACATGAAACAGGCATGTCTGTTATCACATGAAATGAGACCTTTAAACATTTTATGTATGTTTTATTATGGTTTATCTATAATAATTTCGTATAAAATGTCTAAATTTGTATTTTATTGATGACATATAAGATACAAGAAAATTGGCAGATTTGTAGTCAAATTACCAGACTAAAAGCTTGTTAGTTAAAAGTTAAAATTGGGTCTTATAGGGTCATATCCACTAAGCCCAATTAATGACATGGTTGGTTCTGCATCTATTGCTTACAGACCATAAAGGGTCTGGGTGTTTTCTTATGAGGTTGGGACCAAGGCTACCTTGACCTGGCCTTTGACAGCCTTACTTGTGTCTTTCTTGGTCTAATTTATTGTGCAGAATGTTATTTCTTAGTTTGATTCTTGTGCTTAAAGAATCAATTTCATTGGGGAATCAATCTCATTTTTTTTAAACTATATTTACTTGGATCAGGAAATCAGTTGGCATTCTAGGGAAGATTCTGCTTGTAGAGATAGTTGACTTCTCTTCTCGTTGTTTCCATATTCATGGGCATCTAATGAGGTGTTTGACAAATAAGTATCGTTGGTTCCAGCTTCATACCTGATGGATGATGCAGCATTTCATACGTGAAGGTACAATTAGATTCTTACCCCAACAAAGAAACACACATAAATGTAGCAATACATGCCCCAAAAAAGATAACAATTGGTTTATGCAAAGTTCAGAAGTTGCTGGACCAGTATCCCATTCCTGTGTCTTGATTGGAGGACTAGAATTCAGAGGGAAGTGGATTTTGCATTTCTTCCCCAAATTATTTAAGCCACACATTCAGGTAAGTTATTTTCTAGCTTGTTCAATTGCAAAAGCTTTAGAAATTCGAATCCAACTTTTGGTCCATGAAGTTGATAGTTCCTATTCTGTCCAGGGTAGCCTGATGTCTGTCACTCCCAGTACTTGTTTCATCTTCTTTTGCAGGAGTTTAATTTAAACATTTATTGGAGTGAGAGAGTTTAATTTGGATACTAAAACATTTAGTTGATAGAGAACTGAGGGCAAGATGAACTTGGGAAAGCTTTGTTGGATTTTAAACTTCTCTTTTTTCCTTTGGTTCTGACCAGACTAACAAGTTTCTGGTTCAAATGTTGTTAAATGTTTTCAAGTTCTGTTGGAAGTGAATGGTTTTCACAGAATGCAATAAATGACATACTGGCAATTTGTTTCAGCTGTATATGTTTTTTTTTGAAAGGTAAACTAAAGCTTTATTAGAAACAACATGCAAATATTACATCAGCTCCCAAGCCACACTAGGCTTGGCTGGGAGAACTGAACAGCTTACAGATTACAGACTCCAGATGGAGTGTGTTCTCAACAATTCAGAAACATTCAGATTCTTAAACTCAGCATTCACAGAGACCCGAGAGATCAATTTGCAAACAGCAAGGTGAATAAGCCCCTCTGAATTCTTCACTTTGTTACAGAAAATCCTATTGTTTCTTTTTCAGCCCTGATGGACCAAAGGACAGCAGCAGGATCAGCTTTCCACACAATCTTTCCTTTCTTCTTCAGACCTTGAACATTCCAGCAGCACGGAAACTCCTTAACCAACTTTGGTATTACCCAACTCAGCCCTGCAGCCTTGAAGAAATGATCCCATATCTTAGAGGTAACAGTACAGTGGAGACTTAGATGGTCTGTGGTTTCAGGTACAAGACCACAGAGACCACAGGACTGATCCTGAATCTGCAATCCCCTTCTCTCCAAGTTTGACCTTGTCAGACACTTGTCCAAACTCATTGCCCAGACCAGGAAATTCACTTTTGGTGGGGAGATAGGATTCCAAACCTTCTGCCAGGGGAAATCTGAACTACCAGATCTGCTTAACTTAGAGGCTAAAGATCTAACTGTGAAGCATCCGTCACTATTCCATTTCCAAAGCCACTCATCTTCCTTGCTACAGACAATTTCCTGTCTCTATAACAGATTCAGTAACTCCACTACTTCACCTAACTCCCAATCAAACAGATCTCTTCAGGGATACCTTGTTGGTTCTATATGTTTGTTAGGTGCAGAAATATGCTCCCCATCCTTATTTGTTTTGTTTCAGACTGCTGTACTTTTTTTCTCTGTCACAGTCGATAGGGGTATTTTTGTCATTGTATCTTTATTTTCTGAAGTAATATAAAAGCCAATGAAGGGGGTGTTAGAACCAATTCATTCTACTCTCTCTTTCTCTCATTCCTTCTTCTTTCCCTCTCTTCTTCTACTTCTCTTCTTCTTTCTTCTTCTGTTCTTCTCTTGAACAGATCTCAAACTAACCTAGGACAACTGCAGCTGTGTTTCAAGTTGGTACCAGAGTAGGTAATGCAGGAGCTGAAGAATCAAATATGGAATTTTCTTAATTTTTTTTTGTATTTTTTTGTATATTTGGACAGTATGGGTATTTTCGTCATTTTAACTAGTCATGTGTGGGGCCTGGGCTATAACATCTTGTTCTTCTAGCTTAGTAGTGCTTGCCTTTCAATTTTCAGTTTATTTGCATTAGTAGATAGAAAGTTATTGTGTTTCTTGATGCATAAGACAAAGAGTGGCACTTTTTGTAATTATGGTGAACAGTATTCCGGCCCACACAAGTCGCTCTATAAATAGATTTATTCTCTTCCTTTTGAAGTTAATGAATGAATGAAGATTTCTTAAGAGCTCTCTTGCTGTATGGAGTGATTCCTACAATGGGTGTTCACTTCCGGGCCACACAAGTCACTCTATAAATAGATTTATTCTCTTCCTTTTGAAGCTAATGAATGAATGAAGATTTCTTAAGAGCTCTCTTGCTGTATGGAGTGATTCCTACAATGAGTGTTCACTATGAAGCATAATGTAGATGGATCAGTTGAAAAATATAAAGCTTGCTTTGTTGCAAAGGGGTGTACACACAAACCTATGGCATTGATTACTTTGAGACCTTTGCACTAGTTGCTAAAATGAATACTACCCGTGTTCTGTTTTCTCCGGTTGCAAACTTTTCATGGCCCATGTTTCAAATGGATGTCAAGAACACTTTCCCCAATGGTGATTTATGGGAGGAAGTGTATATGGAGTTGCCCCCTAGTTTTTATGATGCAGATGCAGGCAAGAAAGTTTGCAAACTCAAGAAGGCATTGTATGGTTTAAAGCAATCTCCAAGAGCATGGTTTGATAGGTTTAGATTTGTCTTGGAGAAATTTGGGTATATGTAGGTTCACTCAGACCACACACTTTTTATCAAGAGGGGTGGTTCCTCTCTAATACTTTTGCTGTATATATAGATATAAATGATATTGTGGTAACAAGTAGTGATGTTGACAAGATTAATTCTCTCAAGCAATTACACAAAGAGTTTGAGGTGAAAGATTTGGGTCATCTTCGATATTTTTTGGGAGTTGAGGTGGCTAGATCTAAACATGGTATTTTCATTTCTTAAAGGAAATATGCCCTTGACCTTTTGGAGGAAACAATGGAATTGGGAGTTGAACCTGCGGATACTCCTATTGAATTGCATCATTAGATAAGTGCAGAAGAAGGCGAACCTCTTGATGACAAAGATATAGAAGTTTCTGTCTGACTCGGCCTGACATTTCTTATGTTGTCAGTGTTGTTAGTCAATACATGCACTTTCCAAGAACCACTCATTTGTTGGCTGTTGAGTGGTTCATAGCATATCTCAAGAAGTGTCTAGGTCGTGTAATACTCTTCAAGAATAATGGTAATATGAAGTTTGAGGTGTACATTGAATCTGGTTTCATGGCGAACTAAGAAACAAAATGTAGTAGTTTGTTCAAGTGCTGAAGTAGGATACAAATCTATGGCTCATGAAGTGGTAGAAGTTCTATGGCTGAGATTAGAGGTGTAAATCGGTCCGGGCCGCCCGCGGCCCGGCCCAACACGATGGTCCATGCCGTGCTGGGCCTGGGGTTTGAAGTCCACGGGCTGGCACGACACAACACGATCAAGGGGGCCATGTCGCCTGAGGCCCGTGTGCCGGCACGACCCAGCTTGTGGCCTGGCCTGGCATGGCCCAAAACGGCCCATATATACTATTTATATATATATACATAATATTTATATATTTTATATATTTATATATAATAATATATTTTATATATTTATATATAATAATATATTAATAAAATAATTTTTTTTTCAATTTTATTATACTAATTTATTTAATTATTGTATATATAAGCAATTGTATACATCAAAATTCATATAAAATTAAAATTTTAATTTTTTTTAAATAAATAAGCAAAAATAGCTTTGGCCCGGTCCATGATCCGACTTGGGCCAAGACTTGGCCCACGGGCCAGCCCGGCCCGCGGCACGGCATGGCACGGGCCCGCCTAGGCCTGGGCCATGGGCTGTGCTGGGCTGACCCCCAAAATTTCCACCTAGGAGGACGACACGGCCTGTGGCGGCCCGTGGGACAGCACGACACAACCCACCTTTAGGGCAAGCTGCCCATGGGCCGTGCCCCACTTTACACTTCTAGCTCAGATCTTTACTTGTGACAATCAAGCTTCTATTAGTATTGCCCATAACCCAATACAACATGATAGGACGAAGCACATTGAGGTGGATCGATACTTTATTAGGGAGAGAGTAGCCTCCCAAGAAGTGTGCTTGCCATATATTGCCTTTGATATACAATTTGCTGATCTCTTCACCAAGGTAGTCCCTAAAGTCAGGATGGAAACAGATTTACGCAAGTTGGGAATGCTCAATATCTATTCCCAACTTGTGGGGGAGTGTAGAGATGGAAACAGGGATACCTAGTTGGTTCTGTGTTTGTTAGGTGTAGAAATATGCTCCCCATCCTTGTTTGTTTTGTTATAGACTGCTGTACTTTTTTTCTCTCTATCACATTTAACAAGGGTATTTTTGTCATTGTATCTTCTTTTTCTCAAGTACTATAAAAGCTAATGAAGGGGGTGGCAGAACCAATTCATTCTGCTCTCTCTTTCGCTCATTCCTTCTACTTCTCTTCTTCTTTCTTCTTTTCTTCTCTTGAACAGATCTCAAACTAACCTAGGACTGCTGCAGTTGTGTTTCAAGTCTTTCTATAGCTGTGCTTTTTCTTTTTTCACATCCTCTTGTTGTATTCATGCATGTTTTTTATTAATGAAATCAATTGTGTTGCTGATTAAAAAAAATTGTGACTATCATACACGGGTTCGCAAAGAATGGTTGGGATGTTGGAGTATCTAGTAGGGCTTCTAGTGCCTCACCATGGAAAGCGATTCACAAACTCCTTTCACTGCTCTTAGTCATGTTAGGATTGATCTCAATTCAGGTAATAAAATCAATTTTTGGGAAGATGTGTGGGTGGATGATTGTGAGCATTGAAAAATGTCTCACTTGGGCTGATTTGGAGTTGCCACCCATCAAACAAGTGAAATGGAGGTGATGGGATCTCCGGAATTACATTAAAAATCAATTTTCATTTAATAGTGACTCCAAACTCAAGGCATTGACTAAACCAATTATTTGATAGACTATTTATTAATTTTGTTCTATTATTTATTTTATTTTCATCATTCTCTCTTTCCTACCTTTGCATTTTTATTATTATCATATTTATTACTCATATTATTTATTTATTTATATATTTTATTTACTATTTCCTCTCTCATTCTCTTCTTTTCTTGTTTTTTTTTACAAGAGAAAAACTACCTAATTCCCAAAGCTAAACATGGCAGAAAATTCATGTGCTAACATGGCAAAAAATTGATGTTCTATAAAGCGGAGAAATTAATGATTCATAATGTGCTAACATGGCAGAAAATTCTTGTACTCGATTAATAAACGAGTCGAGCTCGAATATATATATATATATATATATATATATATATATATATATAAAATAAAATTATATATATAATAAAAATGTTATAATTCTTTATTTTTTAAATATCAAACAAAAATTATTTTTACATATAATTTTTTACTTTTATAAAACATTTTTTTCTCATTGAGTTTGTGCTGAGCCAAGCTCGAGCTTACGAGTTGTTGACTTGAGCTAAGCTTGAGCTCGAGCCTTGTAGTACCTTGGCGAGTTGAGCTCGAACCTCGTACTATTCGGTTTTGCTCAGCTCAAATCCACCCCTAATCGAAACACTACCCCTCTAGATTTTCCTGATCTGGGCCCAGTTGGGCGATTTGACCCCTCTAGTTGATCCATGATGCCTAAAAACCACCCTATCAAATTTCAGTCAAAATACCCTTGTTTGCCCACTAATATAAAAATATTCCATTTAGACCAATCTCATTGGCTTGCATACTCAAACCCATCATGCACCCTTAAGGCCTCAAATCCATCTCCACCCTTCATGTCTTTAACCTAAAATCCTCACCGTTCAATGGATATCTCGATTTCACACCTTAAACCCAAATGATAAAACTACCCCCAAAATTATCTAAATTATCGGATTGCTCCTAAAGTTTCCTAAAATTACGAAATTTCCCTTGTACCCTATTATAAAACCCAACCTAAGTTTTGCATTAAACCTAATTCAAAAATATCTACTGTTCATTATTCCCTTCCTCTCGACGTAGTGGCGGAGTGGTGGTGAAACTCTTTCCCCGATCTCTCCCTCATTTTTCTCTCATTTATTCTCTCTCTCTCTCTCTACCTCTTTCTTTAACTCTATTATTTTCTTTATGTTCTTCCTGGTTTTGCTACCATTGTTTTTCTCGACTGCCACTGTAACAATCATATGTGGTGATCTACTCTCTTTTCTCATTCTCCTTCCACTCCCTCTCTCTCTCTCTCGTTATTTAAACCCACATCACCATATTCTCTATCCTCCATCGATCTTCCCATTTTTCCCCTTTGATCACTCTTCTCTCTCTTTTGCTCTCTCTCTCTCTCTCAGTGTTTTAAAAGCGCAAGGCGCAAGAGTCAATTTGCACCCGAGGCACAAGGCGCAAGGTGCAAAAATAAAAAGAAAACTAAAAAATAAAAAAATGTAAAAAAAATCAATAAAATGACAAAATATTCAATAAAATGCAAAAAATCAAAAAATTATAAAACATAATATTAACAAAAATATAAACTTATATTTTAAAAAACCTATTATCTAAAATTAAAATACATAAACTTAACATGTAAAGCATATTCAAATGACAATTTAAAAATAAAACCAAACATATAAAACATTTTCAAGCATATAAAACCCAAAATCTCTTTTTTCCTCAATTACATTACTTAAAGTAGCTAATGTGACATATTACAATCCTAATCCTAGAAATATAACAATACAAAAAATAAGAATAATAGTGTAGCATTCCCTAGTCACAGGGGCTGAGATATTAGATCCTTCTAGGAGTCAGATTTCGGCTTTGGAAATCAAGTGGCTGTTTTTCTCTTGTAAAAAAAGAAGAAAAGAAAAGAATGTGAGAGGAAATAATAAAAAAAATATATAAATAAATGCAATAAAATAATAAGAATAATTAATATGATAATGATAAAAATGCAAAGGTGGGAAGGAGAGAATGATGAAAAGAAAATAAATAGTAGAATAAAATTAATAAATAGTAAGTCAAATAAATGGAAAAAAACAAATAAAAATATGTAATAATAGATAATGATGATAAATAGTAAAATAAATTAAAAAAATGAAATGAAAAAGTGGTGGTATTCGTAAGGATAAATAAACAATTGGTAATAGTAGATAAAATAAATAAATAAAATATAAATAAGCATATAATAACATCCATAATTAGGAAGACAAGTTTGTTGGTATCGATTAAGAATTCTGTAGCTTTGATTGTGTATTTGAGATTATGCTTGTGTTTGCCTCGGAAACCCCATGTGGGCCCCACCTGTTAGAAATGGGAGAGGGGTGTCTAACTCCTTCCCTCATACAACTCTTATCTAGATTGGTTTATCCGGTGCCTTGGGTTTGGAGTCACTATTAAATGGAAATGAATTTTAATGTAATTCTGGAAGGTCCCATCACCTCCATTTCACATGATTGGTGGGTGGCAACTCCAAATCAGATCAAATGAGTTGTTTTCCGATACTCACAGTGACTCTTCTTTAAAGACCTTGTTCCCCTCAAGTTATTCCCTCTCCTCCCTTAAAGTTAAACTGGTTGCTGATTTAATAACCCCTTCTCCCTCCCAGTTTGGTTTTGCTTGGAATTTGGCTCTTTGCAGAAATGAGTGGGATTCAGAGCTAGGTTTGGTGTCTTCTCTTCAGCTGCTTGAAGGGGTGTTTTTTGACACTACTAAACAAGATACTAGGCTCTGGACTCCTCATCCCTCTAGAGCTTTCAGTTGTGCTTCTTTCTTTGAAACCTTGTCTTCTCCTGTACAACCTGGGGTACCTTTCCCAGTCCAAGAAGTTTGGTGTTGCCTTATTTGGGAGGTCTACCATGGTGCAATACTGCAATCAACACCTGTGATCTGATGCAGTGGAAGAGGCCTGGCTAGTGCCTTTCACCTAGTTGGTGCTGTTTGTGTGAGTCAAGTGGTGAAACTGCTTTTCATATTTTTGTCTCCTGTCCTGTTGCTAGCTGTATTTGGGATTGGTTCTTTTCTCTCTTTGGATGCAGGTGAGACGCCCCAGTAAGCTTGGAGAGGTTGTTTGAATCCTCCACTTTCAGATGGCCAAAAAGAAGAGGCAGAACACTATGGAGATGCACACAGGCAGCAATGCTGCGGGTGTTATGGGTGGAAAGAAATCTGAGAATTTTTGAAGAGAAGAAAGGTGCAAGGAAATGCTAATAGAAGAGATTATGATAAAGGTGATCTCGTGGGTAAAATCTTTGGGAATATTCTTAGATTTTACTGTGGATGGCATAATCAGGAATTGGACGTCAGTAGCATCCTCTACATCAGCAAAGAAGAAGGTTTAAGGAATTGGGACCCCCCTGATTCTGTCTTCCTGAAATTAAACTTTGATGAAAGTAGCTTTGGTAACCCGGGAGTGTCTGGAATTGGAGGGGTGATAAGAAATGACAAGGGGATTGTGGTGGGGTTGTATTTGGGCCCTATTGGATTGGGAGATTCCATTACAGCTGAGCTAAAGGCAGTGGTTTCTGGGATACAAAAAGCTATGGAATTGGTAGTGAGGAAGCTAGTTGTGGAAAGTGACTCCAAAGTGGTTAGAAGCTGGCTAAATCAGAATGAAAAGACTCCCTGGTTCTTTAGAAATGAAACCAAGAAGTTTAAAAAGCCTATCCAAGTACATGCAGTAATTAATTCAGTGGATTCCAAGAGTGGCAAATGGTTTTGTAGACCAGCTAGTGAAACAAGTGGCTGACATGGGACATTGTTTTTGGGTTCAGTTGTAAGGCTGAGAAGTCAAAAGTTGGTTGGAAAATTTCAAATACTAGTGGGGTAGCCGAGGCTACTCATTATCTGTACTATTTCCTAATTTTCCTAATGAAGTTCCTTCTTGTTCCCATCTAGGGAATCTAAGATCATCAAATTGGGATTTCTTCTCCATTCCTTAAGGTATTCTTCCAGAACCTCTATATGTGTTGTTGTGAACTGAGATCACTCTAGCAAGTCTCTGGCATCAAGTTTCATAGTTGTAATCTGGATCTTTGGATTATCATTATCCACCCCAAATAATATCCAATAGTATTCTTCAATTCCTGACCACTCACCATTAGAAAGAATCAGCTACCAATCACCAGTCAATGTTGCAGGAACACAGAGGAGCAAAACTTCTTAGCACTTCAAATTACAAACACCAAAACTGTCTAAAAGCATATGCTACCAGAACTAGCGTTTCTATTGATAGGAGCTTGTGCCTACTGTACAGCATGCTGAGAGTCTGGGCCTCAGCAATTGGTGGTCACAATTTCAGCAGTGTGTGACATACTTGCAGTGAGCAGTCCCAGGTCTGAAGAGAGCTCTGATACCAACTTGTGATTGGTTTGAGAGAAAGAAGGGAATAAAGGAGAAAGAAGAAAAGGAAAAAGAAGAGAGAAGTGGTAAGAGAGGCAGAACTGTTGGTTCTGGCTCTTCCATTAACATTTATAATAACATAGCTACCCTCTATTAGTATGAGGCAGAATTGCATTTCAAGTGGCTCCTCTCAACATAACTAAACACATTCAGTTAATCTTCCCAGAAAAGTGAACCTATTAAACAAGTTATTCTTTTGGTAGGAACCAAATATTTGAATTGCTAAAATTCTTTTATGTTAAGCTAGCCTAACAAAATTTTTGACAAGCCTACTAAAATGCTCTGTATTAGCTTAAATCATTATGTCATTTTCAGCATTCAATGGAGAGATCTGCTCATACTCTAATTCTTCAGAAAATTGGAATCTCTAATTCTTCAGAAAATTGGAATCTCTAATTTTTTTGTTCATTTTGTATTACAGGTTCTGTTAAGGAAGCAACTTGAAAGGAGCCTTATTGCTTTATTAATGTGGCTTGTTTTTTTTTTTTTTTTTCAATAAACTTGGTGAGCTCAAATTCTTAGCCTTCTCATTAAATTTTGGTGAATCTATATAAAGATATCAATTAATTGGCATGGTCTGTTTTTTGTGTCCAAGGATTTTGTTTGAGGTGGGCATCTCATTCTTTAAATTTTCTTTCCTTCAGGTGACCATTCTTTCGTTTGCAAATGTTTTTGGAAATGGGTTTCAAGTTTCCATTTGGGCTTCCTTCTCTGGGGAACAGTGTACTTAGTGGAATATCAGAGTGAATTGTAATTGTGGGGTTCTGGCCTTCAATGGTAGAGTTTATTTTTTGGTTTTAGTAGTGGCAATACTGGAGTTGTTTAGTGATTTTCCTCAGTGGGGTTTCATTCTATTTTTGTTTGCTCTTCTTTGATCGTGAAACACTGCACCTACCTGTGATCCAAATGACTTTCAGAAGGGTGAATGAATCAATTCAATAGGATGGTGTCAAATAGTAATGGGATTAATGGTTCAGCTTCCAAGTAGGTTATTATGTTGATACTGCCATTTAGAGCTCTGAAAGGGATGATAGCAAGATCTTGGGTCATGCAGATCAGCTGAGATGGCTTGATCATTTTCATATTTTGCTCAATGCCACAATATTGATAGAGCTCTCAAATTTGCAATAGTTGGAGTTGCTTGATCGCAGCTTTGACATGATAATGGGCCTAGTTTGAGTTGTGTTTTGGTGATTGGAAATCAACCTTTTGCTTAACATCTATAGCAATTTATTTGATGGAGATACATTTGAACTCTGGTCATTGCTGAAATTGATGGAAGACCAGTTTGTTTGTCATCTAATGAAAGCAGTTTGAAAAGATAGTCACTAAAGGTGTCTAGCTGAAGAAACATGGTTTCATCTAACAGACACGTGAGAATTCACCAATGAAAGATTTGTCAAATTAATAGGTTAGGGAATGAAAGCAGGTTCTGATGTTTGAACCTGTTGGACTTCGAGCCATGGCACACAGGCTCCCAGAGGAGAACTAACAAACCCCACATTTATCCAGAAATTAGCCCCACAAAAGGAAGCGGAGAAAGGTTTAATGAATTTGGAGTTGATGGTTCATCAGCAACGGCCCTTTGACCACGCTTGATGTTATGATGAATCACGTATCTTTGAATCTTGTGGTGCAGGTGCCAGAAGTTGAGGTGAGAATTTGTCCCCCAATTCCCTTTATCCCTTTTTCTATAAGAGCTTTAATCACTCTTCAAATTGGTTTTCTGCTTTGTCAAATGACATAATTTATGATTTGAAGGTTTCTTGATTAACAGATAAAGTATTTGGTTGCAGAGGCTGTATAGCGGAGACACTGTTCATAATTGGTTGCAGTTTTAGAGCAAATCTCCTTGTACAAACACAAATATCCGTAGAAGTGTGATGCTTTTGGTCTTGTATCCATATTATATTGAGTAATATGTTTAGGATTTCTGGAATAATATTACTGCTGATTGTAAAATCTTTCTGTCGGATTTTCATCAGTTGTTTGCTATTCCCGTTCTTTGTATACTGATAAAAAAATCATGTCGTCTTTTACAGCTATAAGATTGACAAGAAAATTCATTGTAACTTCTTGTCAAGTTAAAATTGGTTAGAGTTATGGTTTCTTTATGCTTGGCCAAAGCAGTTCTTTTATGATCTAGTTGCCCTTTTTATTTTCCCTTCATTTGGCTATACAACTGGGGGTGGCCCGTCCACCAAACCCATAGCCCCCCAACCCTGGGCAACGGGGTTTGATCCAAGTCTGCTACATCTAGCCAGAGACACCTACTGAGACGCTACATCTAGCCAGAGACACCTATTGAGACGCCATCAGTTGGTATTGTTTGGTTATAGATATTCATGATATTAGACTCCCTTAATTTGACAAGGAGCTATTGCTTGCTATGGTGCCTGGATATGAATATCAAGTCAACACAGAACATGGACACGAGAGCTTAATGTGGTTTCCACATCTTCTGCCAAAGGTTCAAACTTCAAAAATTTCCCTACTTCCCATTATTTTATGTATTGTCTATCTGAAAATCGATATGCATTTGGAGATATGGTATCCATACGTTGAACCTTGCTTTAAATTCTTCTATTACGAAACCAAAGTTGGTGTAACTACACCTTTGTAACCGCCAAAAAATTTACTTGATCCTCCAACCGACTGGGTCCAAAACCTTTTAATTCCAGATATACTGAAGAACTAATGCAGATTAGATTTTATAAACGTCTTTCCCTCTTCAGCTTCTTTGTCTCACAGATTCTTCAACTCCCTAATCCAATAAAGTTTATGCTTTCACCTCAAAATCTGGTCCTCACAAGTCGCACCCAATTCACTCTTGAACCAGATACACCTAGCAACAGCACAACCAAACAAAGCATGCTCCATTTCATTTTCTTTGTTACAACATCTACACAGAACAAGTTGATTTTTGGTTCTAGTTTTGTTTCCCATAAAAGATTTCAATGAAGTTTTGATAACCTATTGGTATTCTCATTCTATCTTGGATGAGATAGAATTGTTTCCTAGTGGCTGAACCCAAGGGGGTGAGTTGGGTTCTTCAACCAAATTTTGATTAAGGTGTCTATATCAATGAATGAGTTTGAGATAGTGTAAGTGTTTTTTTTTTCCGATAATTGAAAATATTTCATTAAACAAAAGGAATAAGATTTTACAAGAATCCCTTGGAGAGGCACGAGATGCAGCCTCCCCTAACCGTTACAAGAGATCATTAATAAAACTATAACGCTGCTCAGAATAAATGGTCGCTAGTAGACCCCTGTTTAGCAAGATGATCCGCCAAAGCACTTACCTCCCTACCCGCCCACTGATATCTATGTATTATGTGCCTTGTTAAACATTTAGCTTTTTTGATGAGATCCCTATAACTCCAAACAACTGATTCTGGATTTAACAGCTAGCCCACAGTCACCTTAGAATCCCCTTCAATCAATAGGTTCTCCACTCCTAGTTGATTAGCAATCTGAATTCCCTGTACTGTAGCCAATATCTCAGCTCTTGTAGAGTGCTTTATCCCTATTGGGCCTGAGAATAGGGATATGAGGTTGCCATTTTCATTCCTTAGTACTCTCCAATGCCAGACGGTCCTGGGTTACCCTGGTTGCTTCCGTCAAAATTCAGTTTAAAAAAGCCTTCTGGGGGAGTTACCCAAAGTGTAGTGGCTCTGGTTTCTCTTATCGAAGTATGTGCAACTGTGGCCCAATTTCTCTAGATGTCATCAAATGAAAAAGAGCTGAAAGAAGCCAATGATTTCAACCAATGGATAGTCTTGATTAAGATACATTCGTTCATTTCTGTAAAGGACCTCTCTTTATCTTGGAAAATTCTAACGTTTCTTTCTTCTCAAATTGTCCATTCTGAAACATCTCCACATACTTCTTCCTCTTTTTGTTAGGCAAACAAAAGTAGTTGGTGCAAATAATGGTTTTACCTATGTTGGTTGATTCCACCTACATCCAAACAAAACAAACATTCCAATTCCAAAGAGCTGTAACAAACCAGTAAGTGGTAACAATCCTCATTATGAAAATTGCACAGTACGCACCAGTTTGGGGACAAACAAATAAAAGGCTATTTCTTTTGTAAGTTATCCAAAGTATTAATCTTACCAAGGTACACTTCCTGCAAAAAACAAAAAATTTTGGGGGGCACAGGCTTTGTCCAAACTTCTTTCATTGGGAAAGACTCAAAAGAAGTGCTCAAACAAAGGGATTTAAAAAAGGATGCACAAGTGAAAGAACCTTTTGGGATAGGAGCCCACACCCTTTTTTTAGGAGAAGAGGGGTCCAAGCAAATACTCTCTAGAATGGTTAGAAGTTTAGTAACACAAGCCAACTCCTCCTTCCTTAGAGGTTGATTACCCACCCAAATGTCTTCCCAAAAAAGAATCAAATTTCTAGAGAAAGTATCATACTTTACAAATTTAAGGAACTTTGGGAGGACGCCATGTATTGCCTTCTACGGTGTTGTTTGGGTAGCCTGATGAGATACCCCAACATCCCAATCAGAGACAAAACAACCATGAATACTAAGCACAACCCTATGCCACAAACTCTCTTTCTAGAGGCCATCTTCATAGTCACTTTCCCAATAAAGCTTCATTTTTTAAGACCAAATTTCCTAATCCAAGACCCCTGCCTCTTTACTATGCTAAATTGTCTCTCAATTAGCTAAGTGATCATTTTTCTTCTCATTTGGTTCCCAAAGAAAATCTGTCATCATTTTTTCTAATTTCCTAGCCTCCCTATGGGGGATCCTAAACATAGAGAGATATTAGAATGGTATATTGGCAAGTGTAGCCTTAATCAAAGTTACCCTTCCATAGTGATATAATTCGTTTTCCAAGTTACCAATTTTTTCAAATTTCTCAACAACTGTGTACCAAAATCTGCTTTCCCTAAAATTGCCATCCAAAGGTAAACCCAAATAAGTCAAGGGCCAAGAAGAAATAGAGCAGTCCAAAGAGTTAGCAATAGACTCAACTTCATTGTCATCCAGATTGACCCCTACTACACAACTTTTTTCAATGTTCATTTTTAGATTAGAAAATCTCTCAAAGCATAATATTAGATCCTTAAGATTTAATTTCCCACTCTTCTTGGCTCGCTTCCCTCACAAAAAATGATAATGTCATCTGCAAACTGAAGATGAGTTACAAACATTATTCCTTCCGATCTTCCAACCACCTATTACCCCTCCCTATATGCTTTTGATATTAATCTACTCAACACATCCACCACCAAAATAAAAAGAAAAGGAGGAGGATTACCCTATCTCAATCATTTGTAGGGTAGAAAGAAATCCTTTACCACTCCATTCACTAGCACAGAGTAAGGAACCGAAGTGAAGCAACCAATCATCCATAAGCACCATCTCTCCCTAAACCCACAAGTCCTAAGTATCTCCAAGAGAAAACTCGATTCCATCATATCTTATGCCTTCTCAAGGTACAACTTGCAAGCAAAGCCTAGGCTCCCTGATTTCCTCATATCCTCTACACACTCATTTGCTAATTAGGATTTGATCGGTTATCTGCCTACCTTGTATGAAGGCTCGTTGAACTTGACTAATGATAGATGGTAAGACCACTTTGATCCTTAAGGATACAACCTTTGCCAAGATTTTATAGATGCTTGTCACCAAACTAATGGGCCTATAGTCTTTTGGGTGTTTAGCATCAATCTTTTCGGAATGAGAGCTAAAAAAGTGGCATTTATTTCAGGGCTAATCACATGTCTCTCTTCAAACTCCATGAAAACCTCAACCAGATCCTCCTTAATTATTCTCCAATAATCTTGACAAAAAGCCTTGGTAAAACCATTTGGGCTTAGTGCCTTTGGTCTATCCAAAGAGAATGCTGCTTGTTTGATATCTTCTTCTTCAAAGTTCCTTTCTAGCCAACTTGAAATGCTTTCGTCTAGCCTTGGCCACTCTAATCCTTCCAGCCTAGCTTCTCTCTAATGTTTAGAGGTCCTTTCATCCTTGACTTGAAGTGATCCACAAAAATCCTTTCTATCTCTTTTTGAAAGGAGAAGATTTCTCTATCAATTTCTTGGTCACATGATTTTTTCTCCCTCTCCCATTGGCCAAAACATGAAAATATTTGGTATTCCCATCACCTTCCTTGATCCATCTAGGCCTTGGCTTTTGCCTCCAAGAGATTTCCTCTCTATAGAGCAGTTCTTCCAATTCTTTTTTTAGTTTCCATCTTGACTCTCTCTCCTATTCATTCATTGTTCTTTGGGCTTCCTTTTCATCCAAAGCCTCAATGCTTGAAAGTAAATTGGATTTGTACTCCTCTATTCTCCCAAACTGATCTCTGTTCCACTCTTTTATTTTGGTCCTCAACATTTTCAGTTTTTTTTTAGAACCACACTCCTTTCCATTTTACACCCCTCAATTCCTCACTCCACCATTCCCCAACCTTGTTTACAAAATGTAGGTGTATTAACCACATGTTCTCAAATCTAAAAGGCCTAAGCCCACCACCTAACCGTTCCTGTATAATAGGGCAGTGATCAGAAGTGACTCTAGGTAAGGCTTTTGTCACCAAACCCCTCCAAAGATTTTCCCACACTGGATTAAAAAGAAAACGGTCCAGCTTTGAGCAGGTTGGGTTTTCTTGGAAGTTAGTCCAAGTAAAGATGGCTTGAAGTAATGGGAATTTCCTTTAGTTTACAAAGATCGACTAAGTCATTGAAATTCTTCATACTGGTTGTAATTGTTTGTTGGGGGTTATTTTATTCCTTTATAAATAATTACATTAAAATCCCCACCCAAACACCAAGGGCCCTCCCATAATACTTTTATTGCATATAGCTCATCCTAGAACTCATTTATCTCTCTGTAGTTGTTGGGCTCATACACATTTGTTAGCACCCACACAGAGCCATCCTCTAGGTTCCTAAATTTTAGAGAAATTGATAAATTGCCTATTAATTCCTCCAAACTTCACCACATCCTCTTTCTAGAAAATGACTAGCCCCCTCGAGGCACCCCAAGCATAAGTCCATATCACTTCTCTAATCTTCCAAACACTTCTTTCCCACCTTTTATCTAACTCCGATAACTTAGTTTCCTGAAGCATTACAATGTTGGGCTT